ATTTTTTTAAGACATCCAAAACTATGTATCAGCAAGTATTATCTAATATAAAAATTAAAAAACTTTCTAAACATAGTGTTTACACCTAAAAATAGTTTGTACCATATTGATTATTCACAACGGACTAATTGTCTTTATAAGACCAGATCTATAATAACAACTAATGTTATTTAAGATGGGTCTTATGGTACTAGATTTTTAAGCCCAAACCACTAAGTCTCCCGGAAGGCACTAATCTTGTCGCGTGGATAGAGATTAAGTTTGGTAGACCACCCACGTCACGAGTCCGCTAGATCGAGGTGGTCGCGAAACTAGACCAGTCCGCTAGATCATGCTCATCGCGATTCCGCTATCCCAAGATGGTTGCGAGATTCTCGTCGCGAGTTGGTAGACCAAGGTGGTCGCGAGATCTAGATCACATCACGAGTCTACTAGACCAGGCTCGTCGTGAGTTGGGTAGCCCAAGGTGGTCGCAAGATCCTCGTCGTTATTTGAGTAGACCAAGGTGGTCGCGAGATCTAAACCACGTTGGCGGCAAGTCTAGTAGACCAAGGTGATCGCGAGATCTAGACCACGTTGGCGGCAAGTCTAGTAGACCAAGGTGGTCGCGAGATCTAGACACGTTGGCGTCAAGTCTAATAGACCAAGGTGGTCTCGAGATCTAGACACCATGTCAATCGTGAGATGTAGAAGGCCCTCATTTTGGGATTTGGAATGGTCATGGTAAAAGGGGGGCAAGTAACAAGACATTAGTTCCAAGAGAGAGAACAAGCGGTTCTTTTTGGAAGTTACTCTCACACGGTTTTTCTACTACGGTTACCACTTCAAGGCTATAAATAGGAGGAGGAGTTAACAGAGAAAAGGGTCGGCCAAATTCACACCAGACAACCCAAATACCCAATGTCAATTTTTATCATTTTATCTTGGCAAAATATACTTGTATAGCCATAACTTTCACGTTTGTGACCAATGTAGCCATAACTATTTGAAAACACAAAATAACTAATTCCGTCCATTTTATTAACGGCGTAAGTTGACGGTATGACTGGACTAACGGAAGACGCTGAGTTGGTGATTAATTTACCCCATCAACCGACGTGGATAAACATAAAGAAAAGTAAAAAAATAAAAATTAATTAATTTAAATGAAAAACATAAAAGAACAATAATCTATTAATCTTTCCCTATATCCACCATCTTCCGCCGCTAGTGCCAACCCCCAATCCCTACCTTCACTCCTCTGCCTCCTTCCCAAATTGACTCCCCCTTCTTCCCATCTCTCGATCTGCCACCATTCTCTTTTTCCTTTTTTTCATATTTATTCCCCCCTCTTTCCATCTCTCGACGCAGTTCTCCCTCACTGCAACCTCCATCGCCGTCGTGGCCAATCCAGAGAAACATCGGAGATTGGGAGAGATGACGGCGACGAGGGTGGGGGATCCCAAGGGTGGTGGAGAAACCGTAGGCAAGGGCGGGAAATTTGTTCAGCGATTTTCGAATTGATGGTGACGGGAGGCACGATTTTGGAATTGATGTTGACAGGAGGCAAGGGCGGGAGCTGGCGTGTGCGAGGGAGACCTGGAGGGGAAATCGAAGATTTGAACGGGTGGTGGTGGCGGATTTTATGTCGGCGGTGGGAGTGGCGGTGGTGGCAGTCTGGCAGATTGATGTCGACGGTGGGAGTGGACTGTGGTGGCGGGTTCGATGTCGGCGGTGGGAGTGGGCGGAGGGGAGAAGGTGGGAGGAAGGGGAAGGGTGTTGTCGGTGGGAGTGGTCGGAGGGGAAAAGGTGGGGCGGAGGGGAGGTGGGAGGAAAGGGAAGGATTATGAAGTTGATTTTTATTTTTATTTCTTATAATTAAGTATTTTTAAGTAAATATGACGTGTAATCTACGTGTCACTTTATGTTGATTTTTTGATAACGTGTGCGATGATTTGGCGTCCTAGTCAACATATTGCTAACATAACTGACGGCGCCACTAACGCCGTTAAAGTTTATAACATAAATGGCTATATTTGTCACACTACCATCCAATTTTTGGACTATTTTTTGTTTTCGGATAGTGATGAATATATTTGTCACAAACGTGAAAGTTATGGCTATACAAGTGTATTTTGTCTTTTATCTTTCCTGTGCAAATTTTAGTCATAGTCTGGAGCTCTAAACCTCCATAGGAGTAGGGTTAATTTAGTGTAGATCTGTCTCGTGAGTCGTGTAAACATCGAACACCGTCGTTCGAATTTTATTTGAAGAGGTGTGAATCGTGTTAAGTTAATCGTTGTCCAAAGAAGTCAAGGTGCAATCAGTTCTCATTCAAGGCAAGCTTTTTTGCCGGAAAACACATAGTATTACTAGAATCACTAATGCAATGTTCTTAATAAAGTAGATAAATTAGTAAAAAAAATAAAAAAAAATAATAAACAAATATCAAGAAGGAAAAATACATATACTAGAAGATAATAATAAATATATAAAGTCAATATTAGAAGATCTATTTCAACCCTTAATATAATTAGAAGCACCACTTAAAACAGTTAAATAGAACCTAATCAACCATCAATACATCATATTAGAGAATTACAAGGAGATTTAATATAGAAAATTATACAAGATCAGCATGATCTAAGAGAACTAATATAAAATCCTCAGATTATTTATACCGAGACAGAATTCATATGATATATTTTCTTAAGAGAATAATTAAATTAATAGAACACATAATGATATTAAAAATACTTATATGATAATTGATTCTAAATTTCTTATTCAAAAATAGATTTGGTATAAAACAGAGTCTTCAAAATATTATTCCAACTAAACAATAAAAAGTTATGTTTTTCGTAAGTCAAAAGGATTTTTTGTAATAACAAAAAGTAGAAGGACCAATTTTGAAATTTAGAAAATAGAATATTCAAAGAATATTCTGTGAACTTTAATGAAATGTACTTGACAGTAAACTTAAATAGTACCAGGTGCACATATAATAGAGTTCAGAGGCACGCGATGTCCTATTTTTACTTAAGTGATATAGCTCCCTTAATTCTCATACTTTAGTGATACCCGAGGTATTTTATCCTAAAATTGTACCTAGTATTTCGTAACATTCATGTTTGTTTGGTATTTTGTGAGTAAATAGTTTATATCGATAAAATTCTATATCAGTTTTAACTTTAGTAGTCGATTTTTTCCATTAAATTGTCGGTACGATACAGTTTAACAATATTGGGGCTAAAATCGAGCTGCGGCAATTACCTGGGGTTGTATTTTCGGCCAACATTGCAGCTACAAATTAATGCAGCCTGTTGAAATTGGAGAAATGCGGTATAAACCGTGACCAACTTTGTGCATGAGACTTTGGTCATTAATAGCCTGTTTGGAAAGGCTAAATTTTGAGGAAATGGAATTCCAATTCCCAAACTTTCCATGATTCTCATGTTTGGAAGTAAAAAGTAAAAAGGAAATGGAATTCCAAAAGGCAAAAAGTTGGAAATTCTAATTCCTACCAAAAGTGGTCGGAATTGGTGGAGGGAGTGATGGAATTAGTGGACCCCACATTAATTTTGACTCACCTTTACAAGAAAGCCCTTACTACTTTTGGATTTGAAATCACTAATACCAAGGATATTATTGTAAAAACACTTGTAAGAAATCATTTCCATTTTTTCCAAACATAAAAAGATGAAATCATTTTCCAAACTTTTGGATTTGTTCCAAACATAAAATTTTAAAATGAATTCTCACTTGAATTCAGATTCTCACAAGAAATGGAATTCATTTTCCAATAAAATTATATCCAAACAAGCTGTAAGACAATCATGATTCATTTAATGTTAATTGAATTATAATAAAAATGACTCGATATCATATCTCATAGATAACCAAATTTTTTATTAACAAAAATTACAATTATAAAATGTTGTCACTAGGAACAATTACACGGGGTGATTCAAGAAAGTCCATAGACATCTCACACTAACTTCGACACGACAGTACAGTAACTTCAATAATACAAGCATTTCATTAAGGGCAACACACACTGACCATTGTGTTTCTGACCACGATCATGTATCTTCTCTGAGCATAGTCAACAGCCTACAGCCTGTAGAAGAAGAAAGGAGATAGATTTGAAGAATGATTCTGCAGAGTCGAGAACAGGAACTGCCAATGTAGTACCATGTGGAGCTTTGATAGCAACCAGTGTTTCATTCTGCCAAAAGCAACAACATACTGAAACAAGAACAAGACTTGATGGAGAAATAAATTGGAAACTCGGTGAATAGTCGTGCAAATCTTATTAACCTGGAAACAAGGGAAGGTCTTGATATCATCCTAGGTGACAAAGAAACCTGAAACAAAAACAAGTAAAAAATAAATTAAAACGACGCGATATGCTTCAAACGTATTGAAAGCAGGGATATTGAATCCTTACTGTCACAAAATCCTGGCCTCGAGTTAAGGAAATATGCATACAATGTTTTAGTAGAGAAAAAGCTGATGGCTGTTTCCTACTAAGCAAGGCAATCTGGTCTCCAACTAAACAGGACTCAAATACCAAGTAAGGCAATCTATGCCTCTTTCCACGGACAACAAACAAATTGGAGGTCAGAAACCATCTAATGCATCTAACTAAACCATGTAAGAGACAAATGCAAGTCGATGAAGGAAGAATTCTATTTCCCCCATAGGTGCCAGGGACCTCCTCTGAAAACCCATGACTAAGTTGCCTCATTAGGAAACTGGAACACAAGCACCCTTATCTCCAAACCACGAAACCTTAATATTTCCATCTCTTCCCCAAAGTTTGTTTTCCCAAGCGTGAATCACAAGAAGAGCAGTGAGAGGGGAGATATACCCTCGAGAAGAGAACCATTTCCTTGTTGGACATGGAAAACTGAAAATATGACCAACACGCCCAACGCGCTGCAAAGGTTCTATTTAGCCCTCAAATCGAAGAAATTCCAGAAACCTGCTCTCTCAGCCTGAAGTACAAAATATTAAGCATGTCAGAAGAAAGGCTAGAACCATGGCTGGTATATCTCCATGGCGACGAGAAACCAAACGTCACAAAGCTTTACAGTTTGCCGCAACGCCGTCACAATGTCATAAACATCCCTGGACTGCGATCTACCCATAAAATCGACACCAGTTCTCACGGTTGGCTAGTTATTACCGTAGTCGGTGACGATGATTGCGAAGATGATTACTTGCTAAATCCTGTTACCATGGAGAAGATTCAGTTGCCCAAGTGGCCCGGACCCGACTTGGCCTACGCCTTCTGCACCCTTTCTTCTCCTCCACATGATCGAAGTTGTGTAGTTATGTATATCCTGGATACTGACCAGAAGGTATTTCTATATTGTAAGCCCGGCGATGAGTCTTGGACGAGACAAGAGGTGCAAGCTCCTTGTAATTGCCCCGCCGTGGGCTATAATTTTGATGCAATCACCAGCATCAATAACGAGATCTATGGTCTCACGATTTGCTGTCAAAGCCTCGTTAAGTTTCAGTTTGGTAGGGATCACGACGATCACGATTGCTGCAATCTGAGATTACTTGATTTGAATGTTAGGAAACCAAACCAAACTCATCACTTCGTTAGGACCTGTGGAACCATATGCTATTCCATGGTCCAGTGCTCACCTACTGAGCTAATAGTTGTTGAGGTACACTACGGGGATGAGTTCCTCGTAGGCGATTCTACCACGGACGTTGGTTGCATGGGCATTGAGTTATACAAGGTGAATCTCCGTGACCAAGTATGTGGGAGGATGAAGTCTTTGCCTGGAGATTCTGCTATCTTCTTAGGCGCATCTGATAATACCGCAGTCTATTATAAAATTCCAAGAGATGATCTGGACTCTGGACGTGTTCGTGGGAATACTATCTACTTTACTGAAAGGAATGACAAGTATCTTTACGCGTATGATGTTCAAGAGAGAAGTGTAAGTGTGTCATTACCTTGCCCAGACGTGAAATGTGACTATGGAGGGCCATATTGGATCCAGCTACCTGTTAACTGGTCTTTAATGAATGATCCCCAACAACCACAAGTAGTAGCTTCTGAAGATGACAGCCCGAACCGTGAAACCCCATCTATTGAAGCAAATAAGATCGCCAGCAAGCTGCAAATCATGAAGAGGGGCGGTGGTGTACGAGATTGGTGGAGCGACCTTCTTAATGACATCCTTTATGAAATACAGTCTCTTCTATTTGGTGCTGACCGGTGTTACTTCCGTCTAGCCTGCAAAACATGGAAATCATCATTCTCTAACTCAACCTCTGAATCTGGTTATCGATCGGCAAAGCTGCAGAAAATACATCAATTTCCAATCCTTATGCACATAGGAAACGACGGTGAGCTAGTCAATTTCTTCAACCCAATAATGAATTCCACACACACCTTGCCGTTGTTGGGTTTGACGGGCGCAATCATCCGCTGCTCCAAAGATGGATGGTTGCTGATAACACAAGGGAGTACAGGTGAAAAAATATTCTTCCTCAATCCTTTCACTAACGAAAGGATTGATTTACCTGACTTGGATGAATATATATTCGACGGGATCACATTTTCTTCTCTTCCGGCATCCTCAGACTGCATGGTCCTCGGCTACTCAAACTACGAGAAATATACCATAAGACTCCACTTTATTTATCGTGGGGAGAGTGAATGGAGTGGCTCTGATGTGCAGAAGAATGGAGTTCTTTTAGATAACTCTTACAGTAATCCAGTTTACCACCAAGGATTATTTTATCTCATGGGTAAGGCTGGAAATTTATGCATTCATGACCCAGGAGGAAGAACAGAGCAAAGCACCAGCAAGGTTATCGACTTGGCTAGAAAGCCTTCTGCTTTAACGAGAACAAGTCAGTTGATGGAGTGCGAAGGGAAGCTTCTCTCCGTGTGTACAGGCCACATGGGGAAACCTCTGGAAGTATATGAGATGAATCAAGAATCCATGGCTTGGGAAGAACTAGGCAGTCTGGACGACACAATGCTGTTTTTGAGCTATACTTCTTTGTTATCAGCAACCACCAGTGGAGTGCAGATTTCCGGCTTAGGAAACAAGGTGTTCTTGGATAGGTTTAGCAGGAAGGATGGCGTGTTCTACTCTCTTAAAACAAGAAAGTTCCATACTTTCTGGAGTGGATACAACAGCGATGACTGGTGCGATACCAAGAAATACACAAATTGCGCTTGGATCGTACCCAACTTCGAGACACATAAGAAAGGGGAGCTCCAGTGGTTTGATCCTGCAATTCAAATTGAGCAAGCAGAAGACTGAGTGCTATAAACTAATTCTATATATCACTGCCATGTACAATCTGAAACAGTATCTTCTTCTAATCATTTAATTCAGCCATGTTCTTAGAAGTATAGTTTAGCTGTCTTGAACAAGACAGTGATATGACACGAACAGATAACTGAGTGAAAACAGAACAACAAATCACCGCTCACAGACCCAAAAATCAGAGATGTTAAATATGATAAAGTCGATTCGCGTCCCAGATCCACAAATCACTACACACAGAGGTAATTTATTGGTGGGACTCCAATCAAAGAATTGAACAAACCACAGGTTGAAATGCAAAGGATAATGATTCTTCTATGCGTTTCATCAAACACCTTTCCTGCTATATTCAAGCGGACGACTTACCCCATCAATTCCAATCGAAACTTCGTGAGCTTGGAAATAAAATTATGGAGAACTGGTGAAATAGAAGAAGTCGGTCTCCTGCTTTCCATAGAAATTGTCGTCGACGGACGAGCCAGCTGCGCCTGGCGATAACTCGAGACAAAGTTGACGCGTGAAAGATAAAAGAAGATGGAAGATGCTTTCAGAGTTTCAGTTTCCACCGAACTCGACTTTTGTAGTTCAACATGAATCAATACCAGTTGAAAAAAATATATTCTGGAGAAAGAGAAGATTGGCAGACATGGAGGTGGGGGAGAAACTCACCAGATTCGGAACTCCATAGCTGGGAGCAGCAGAAGAGAACTGAAATCGAATTGCAACCTTTTCCATGGCATCCATCTGAACAATTTTATTCATGATAGTATCGACAAACAGAACCTTTATTCTACGAGATTATGATATATGATAATGATTATAGGTATGAATCAAATCGCAAGCCAAAAGATTAATGTGTCGGGTCTAAATGTACATATTTTACCACTTATTTTTTATTCGTTAGACTTAGTAGATTATCATCCATCGACCTATTTTATACTAGCACCGGGCCCGGCCCCGGCCCCTTGGCCGGGAAAGTCTAGACAAAAAATATGTATATAACATGCTTACAATATAATAAGAATATACGACATATCACTGAAAAAAGAAATATAATTGTTCAAAGAAGAAAAGAAAAACATACAAATAATAGGTTTTCAATACTTAAAAATGGCAAATAGTTCAAGATTAGAGTTGGTTTTCCTAAAACATACATAATGAACCCTCGGGAATGAGATCATTTGTAACAGATTTTAGGAATGAAATCATTTGTAACCCTAATTAATGTCTAACAGATACACCCATATTATTCCTCTTCATAGAAAGTAGAATAAGGATCAGTTGGTTTGGAAGCATGCTAGTCCGTAGTCCTCGAAGATGCCTAGAAAATAGTCGGGGTTCTCAACAGAGCTTCAAACTTAAGGCTGAGTGCAACTAATTTTGAATTATATATGTTTGTCTTTGTCAGTGTTGCTGATACTTTCACTGACTACTTTGATTGGTAAGTTGACCATAAATAATAGGGATATACCTTATTTTGGCCTTGAAGTTTGTCGTAAAAGCCAAACTTGACATGAACTTGCAAATAAGACAGTTTTTCAAAATTTTGAAAGAAATGGACAAATTTGAACTGAAATTTATGTTGTTCGTTAATATTAAAAGTTAAAAATTTCTTCATCCATTCAACATACAATGCTCAGGTGGTTGCGATTGCGATGTGGCTTCCGTGTCATAGGGATAATACCTTATTTTGGCATGAACTTGATGTAAAAGGCAATTTTGGCTCGAATTTTCAAATAAGATAGGTTTGTTTGCACTATGAAAGAAATGAACAAATTTGGTCCGAAATTTGGATTGACCTTTAATATCGACGGTTGTGATAGAGAGGTTTCGGTTGCGATGTGGCTTCCAAGTCATTTATTTATAAAGTCTAAAAAAGTGAATTTTTCAGAAGAAAAAAAGACCACAAAATAGGACCCCTAGTATATCCTAATATTTTCATATTTACTTGCATAAATCGTATTAAAAGGAAAAAGAAATTGATTCAGGCCCCCAAAAATCCCAAAGCACGAAACTATCTCTCTTTGTACCCCTCCCATCAATATTAACGGCAACCTAAATTTTGGGTCAAAGTTATCCATTTCTTTGAAAATTCGTACAAAACTGTCTTATTTGAAAGTGTAGGGCAAAATAGCATATTATACCTATGACGTGAAAGTCACACCACAGTCACCTTAACATTGTATGTTGAGTCATAGAAAAAAGAAATGTTTGACCCTCAATATTAATAACCGACCCAAATTTCGGGTCAAATTTGTTAATTTCTTTCAAATTCGGACAAAACTATCTTATTTGAATGTTCATGCCAAAATTGTTATTTACGTCAAAGTTCAGCACAAAATAGGATATTATCCCTAAATAATATAGGAGTACTAAAAATATTTGACTAATGAAGTTCAAAATGTTTCAAACAACATACAACCCTGATAAAACTACAGTCCAACCAACTAACATTTAGAACAAATGACTTTCCGGCAGGATAACACAACTATAAGTATGGGTGGTTCTATCATATTTTGAGTAAGAAAATGACATAAGGAAATGATATATAGACCTTGAATGATATAATCTGAGTATGAAAATGATGTCTAGTGGCCGGAGCTAGGGACATGGTACTATACCTTAAGCCCTTACAGATTAAAATCTAGGTCTTAATTCTATGAAGCTCATATACTAAGATCCATTTTATTAGAAACAATAATCGAAGGTCGTGTTTCATCAAAATACATCCAAAAAATTATGTGCATAATCTTAGTGTTTAGGGCAAGGATTGAAAACCCTTAACGTACCGGGGGTTCGACTAAACCGGTAGGCACTATGTAGTGTTGTGAAACGACTGAATCATGGTTAACCACAGTTTTTGCATAAAATACCCTCCTGCCGACTTTTTCGGTACAACCTCTGATGAGGTTTTATAATCCCTGGTTTAGGGTCTATGATTTAAATAGTTAAGACCTAGAGTTCACTAGTCAAGGGTTAGAATATAGTGTCTCGTCTCGAAATAAGGTTAATTCAAAGTCTAGATTGCCATTTCTTACCAAGCGTATGAGTTACCTTTTGATTTTACTTAAAATATGATAGAAAACACTACACACACATACTGGTATACTCCAGGAGTATAGTATACTCCACATGATCTAGACATTAGATGTACTTTGTTGAGCTCCAATCAATCTCAATGGTCAATTATAATTTTCCATTAAATTGAACTTTGGGTTTGAGTTTAGAGAATCGGGGCCTGGGGTTTATCCATTAGAGGTTAGGGTAGAGTATCATACCCCAAACTCGGTTAAAAATCATGGTCTAGATAGAGATATCTTACGAAGAGTACATGAAGTATAGTATACTCCAGGAGTACACCAATCTGACCCATATATATGTGGTTGTGTGTGCACATATATATTTAATATTGTAATTTGATATGCAATATTCGAATAACTGATATTTGGATTGCGGTTTTAAGATTATCCTCCATTTATAAGATAGACTACCATTATTATTGAAGTCAAAATAAAATAATAATAAAAATTGATAATCAAAGATCCAACACTAAAAATGCTTAAGAAAGACTTAGTGGGGTAGCTAACTGTGCCGGAAAAGTCATTTGATTTTCAGAATTTTGCCTCTTCTATGTTCTTTTTATAAATAAATGCAACAAATTTGTTTAGTCTTATTGGTTATGACTCTTGTCCTTGTTAGAAGAGACTCGGGTTCAAATCTTGACACTGATATTTTTTTTCAAATAAAAAATAAACAATTGCAATGACGAAAGTACCCTTCCTACTTTCACTCTCGTTACAGAAAATTTGAAATGGGAGAAAGTTGAGTCATGAATCTCCATCATATATCTTATAGATTAGGTTGTGTTGTTTTGTTACATTTCAAGTCATAGCACATGTCATGTGGGAAGGTCCGGGACGAGTTTCGTGTCATTCAGAGGTCAAAACGAGCCAAAAAGTGGAGGTTGAGCCCTGTTCACGGTCTGGAGCTTCAGTTCACGGTCTTAGCTCCAGTTTACGATCTCTAAGTCCGTGAACTGAAAGCCCAAACCGTGAAGTGACCAATTTCCATCACGATTCTATTGGTTACTGGCTTCAACAGTTCACGGTCTCTAAGACCGTGAACTAAAACCCCAAACCGTGAAGTCGTCAGTTCACTGTCTCTAAGACCGTGAACTGATCAACGCGGCCGTGAACTGGGCCCTGTCGAGCAAATATAAAGACAACAGTTGGAAGAGAGAAAGCAGAGCTGGTTTTTGGAAAGGGATTCGATTCTCTCTGTAGGATTTCAACGTTCCAGTGTGTGTGTGTGTGTGTGTGTGTGTGTGTGTGTGTGTGTGCGTGTGTGTGTGTGTGTGTGTGTGTGTGTGTGTGTGTGAGAGAGAGAGAGAGAGAGAGAGAGAGAGAGAGAGAGTGCTTGAGTGATCTTGGAGCCTACTTGGAGGCTTGGGTTGATCTTGAAAACAAGGATTCAAGCCTATAAGAAGAAGAAGATCTTAGGACTAGATTTGGGTTTAATGTTGATGTATGTGACACATTCCATATTTGATTGACGATTCTACTTAATTGATGGATGTTTTCATGAATGACATGAGTTGGGTTTCCATTTTTATGTATTGAGCATTTGACCTAAGAGGGAGAAAATCCCCTTACAGCCCATTATTGGCATATCCGGGTCACTCCTCACCCTATAATGTCCGGGTAATCCCCGAGGGAGTCGATACCATCAATCTCCTACGATATAGGGTTGCCCTAGGTTGAATAGAGCCTACCACATTCATCGATTCGTCGTTCCGGGTCATTTCTGAGGGAGTCCATCTCCTAACAGTAGAGTAATTGAGTCAATTGAGCTTTTGACATAGGAGGGAAAAAACTCCTCACCCCATATCGTCCGGGTAATCCCCGAGGGAGTCAATTGGATCGATCTCCTACGATATAGGGGTGCCCTAGGTTGAATAGAGCTCCTACCATCCATCACTTCACCGTTCTGAGTCC